TCCAACAGGACGCAAAGTCGACCAAGGCTTCCACCTTTGGTGACGACGACGACAACGGCGGGGACGACGATCAGCTGCCTGAGCCAGAGGGTCAGGATGACGATAACATTGACGAGGTTCGACCCAGACGAGAAGACGTCCAGGACAATGAAGAACGATCTCCCAAAGACACAGATCCGGACAAGTCGGTGGGCGATATCCAAATCCTCGAACTGCACTCGAAGAACCCCATCATCGCGTACCGCGGCCGTGTGTTTTCGGCTTCATGGGCAAGCAACATCGGCACAGAACTGCTCTTCGTGGAGCAGGACCCAGCCGCCGAGGGCGCGCTTCCCGCACTGCGGCACCTCCCCGGCGACATCGACCTGCTGGCGGCCAGCAGCGCGCGGCTGCTCACTTCGCTCATCGAGCTGAAGCCCATCGAAGACGACACGCCGGGCGGGCTGGCGGCCGAGCGGGAGGCGAGGGAGAAGAGGCTGGAGAGGGCGCGCCAGAAGCACAACATCTCGATCCCCGTGGTGGGCGACCGCTACGGGAAGCGCGCGCCGCAGGCGCGATTCCTAGAGAACCTCATGGCCATCAAGAGGCTCAGGGGCGAGACGGACGAGGTGACGGTGCACACGATGGAAACGCGGCAGAACGACGTGGAGGACGACCCGGAGGAGATGGTGGAGCGGAGGAAGCGGGCCAAGGCGACCGAGCGGCACAGGAAGAACAGTCACAAGAGGCAAGAGCTGATGCGGGCAAATTTGGGGGATGCACACAGATGGGGGGGGGCAGGCCAAGGGGAAAAGGGTCAAGAGGTCCATACAAAGAGCGGGCTGTGCTGGACATTATAGGGGCTGGCAGCACAGCTGGCTCAACACCTACACCCGGACAGTGGAACGACCTTGCTCAACCGGCTGCTGGCGCTGAGGACGACACGACTATGCAGGACGGTGCGGGCGACAATGACGATGAAGACTCATACCCCGATGAAGTATAAGCCCGAATTATCGCGGTGGTGTTTGCAGACGGCGAGATTGATGGATGGCAGTCTAGGCTAATTTACGGAGACCAGATTGTGCATGAGCCGAATGGTCGAATCTTAAGCAAGCTTCACGAAACGTGCCTGTGCCAATTCTCTGTGAAAGCAATCGTGAAGCAGCACTGGATATGTGATTGGTGCATTCTCTGTTTTGGCTGTGAGATCAACCAACGGCGGAGTCTAGTCTAGGCCCCCTCGCCCCATGGCACAGATAGCCGTTACGGTCTAAGGAGTGTCGATCTTGTCTAGGCCGTGGATGCTCGCTATGCGGCACCCATAGTACTGTAATGTGTCCGACTCTACAAGAACAGTACTAACACTTTGGGCTGGCGACTTACCATCAATCCCAGGTGACGGTGACGATTTATATGTGAAGGGCACCATCACTGACTCGCGGCCCGCACTGCGCTCTATGCCGTGTAGGTAGTAGGTATGTAGGCGTTTTCGCCGATTGAGCGGGAGCACCAGGAAGGAAGAGGAGGAGCGCAGTTGAGCGGCTCAGCACGATTCCCTCACCGACTCGGTTCCGGTTCCGATGAGTCGACATCCGGCCAGCCAGCCAGAACTGAGAGTGAACGGGCTCATGCATGGGCAGCCAAGCAACGTGGACCTCGAACTGCTGTCCGATGGGCACATCACAAAGGCCGGCACGGAGGGTCTTGGAGGGTCTTGGGTAGTTCTGGCTGGTGGTCCTCATCATGCAGCGCCGGATTTGGCGACTATTGTCTCTCTTGTCTCTCCCTGGCGGGACCAGCCAGACCAGCCAGACCAGCCAGAGCAGGTACAGGGCCAATGTGGCCGAGGTGGCAATGCCGGTTGGCGCCCGATGAGAGGAGTGGTACATGTACATGTACTGGATAGTAGAAAGATCATCAGGTGCGCTGCAGGAGGGAAGGCTCGGGAGGATGATGTTCTGTCAGGGCCGCAAACAAGGAGGGGAGCAAGGGAGCAGGGGTCGGGCTCCAGGGCTGTCTTTGGCAGTCCGGGCGACCTGGGGCCAAAGGTCAGGTGGGGGCGGTACTCTGTACTTGGCCATTACGTATGAGGCTGACCACGGAGCGGGGTAGAGTGTACTAGAGTGTACAGACTGTACAGCGTGTACATCATATAGGTACCTGCTGACAATCCGGCTGGCCAGGGTCCGATCTCGAAACACGCAGTACTGCATAGTAGAGTCCTTAGGTAGAGGGCCACTCCTCTTGCCAAACCTGAACCTGAACCGGATTCTGGTGCCGTGCAGCAGGTACCGGTACAACATCTACCTACACAGGTCCTACACAGGTATCTCTCTCCTCTTATGGCACTTGCCTGCTGCTGAGCCCTGCCCAGGCCCAGGTGCTTTACTCAGTTTACTGTGCCTTACTGTGCCTTGGTTGGATCCTTTGAGGACATCCTGGCATCCCAGACTGCCAGACTACCATCCTGTTGCTGCCGCTGGTCGCCCTGGTCGCTGGTCGCCCCAACAAAGCCCCGGCCTCGCGCGCGCGCTGACTCTCTTTCAACTAAAACTACCGGGCCTACCTACCAACTAACGTCAAAACCTACACTATATCGAGCCTAGATCCTCTCCCACCACCCACCACCATCCATACATCCATTACTCAACCTTTTGAACAGTCGCTTCACTCATACCGCCTCTTCTCCTCGACGATGCGGTGTGGCTCTCGTCTCTCGTTTGCAAACATTCTCAGATATCGTTCCTCTCTCCTATAGAACTTACTTTTTACTTTGTTGCGAACTTGGCATCTCATCTGTACTCGGAGCCCCCACCATCTCCTCCAACCAGCCAACCAACAAACAAGGCCGGCCCGGTATTTGTAAGACTCGCGAGCCAAACTCCGATTACGCCTTACCCAACGACTTCCGAAGCAACCGGACGGAATAAGCAACCACCTTTCCATGAATATCCTCCTGTCAGCCCGACAGAGGCTTGATTCTCTTTTCCCTGCCTAGATTGCTCTGCTCTTCCCTCCCTCTCTCTACCCCCGGTTCCCCCACGACCTCGACCTCGACCTCGACCTCGACCACCGCCGGACTCAATGTACCACCTCCGCCGAGCGACCGTCGTGGTCATCTTCCTCGGGGTCTTCATCTTGGCCGCCTCTCTCCTGCCCCGGATCCTAGCCCCGGTACCTCCGACTGCCGAGGAGAAGCAACGGGACAAGCAATGGGTCTCCTCGTCGCCATACTGGATCGATCGCCAGGCCTGCCGATGGCTCGGCCTCTGCGGCGTCATGCATGTGCGCTGGGATGCGCCGGTCCTCAAGCTGAGCGGTGACAATGGCAAGGACAAGAGCCCGCAAGAGCTGAGGAAGCGAAGTGAAGAGCCGTATAGCTGGGAAGTGGCACAGGGCCCATCAGCCCAAGAGAAGCAGGGACCCCAAGGATGGAACGACGGCGAGAAGGTCACCGTGGCAGAATCGTTGAGGGACATTCCGGACTATGTCCTGCGCTATGCGCCCATGGTGCACCTGTATTCTGGGGAGAACTTCTGGCCCTCGGACATTGCGGAGCACATCCAGCACATGATGCCGTTCTTGAACGGCTCCCTGCTCAACACCACCGAGCCAATGACGCTGGCAAACATGCACAGACTTAACGCAGAAGACGGCAGAGTCTTCCTCACCAGCAAGGAAGACGTTGAAGAGCGACCAGAGTGGCTGCACAGCCACGTCGGTGTGCCAGAGGCCTACGAATGGGAGGAGACTGAGGCCGAGCGCCGCCGCCGTGAGATGGATCAAGAAGAGCTCCGGCTGCGTGGAGGCACATCCTGGTGGGACGTGAATAAAGACCGGCCTTTGCATCGCATCTCAGATCCTCGGCGCATACCGTACCAAGACACCAGTGCCCCACCTTACTCGCGATCGCGGCCGTTCAGTTCGAGGGCGGTTCGCTCCAAGAATCTGCGCAGGAGGCAGCTTGCTGGAGAAGAACCGGAACCCCAGCGACCGTTCCCCGGCCCGCCAGGCTCACCAGATAGCGATGTGAACAAGCCGGATCCCAGTGGCTACTCGTCCGCACCCGCTGTTCTGATCATGGTCGACAAAGGCTCTGGGATTATGGATGCATTTTGGTTCTTCTTCTACTCATACAATCTAGGGCAGACTGTGCTAGAGATTCGCTTCGGCAACCACGTTGCTGATTGGGAACACTGCATGATCCGATTTGAGAATGGTGTGCCGCGGGCCATGTTCCTCAGCGAGCACGAAGGCGGCCAGGCTTATGCCTGGGAAGCTCTAGAAAAGAGGGCCATGAATGCGACCATCAACGGCCACAACGTCACCGTGGACCGGCCTGTCATCTACTCCGCCGTTGGCAGTCATGCGATGTACGCCTTCCCCGGCGCACATCCATATGTTCTACCCTTCAAGATGCTCAAGGATGTCACCGATGACGGCCCGCTTTGGGACCCGTCTCTGAACAATTACGCCTATTTCTACGACTATAAGGCGACGCCTCCCGGAGAAGATGAGCAGATGGTCGAGCAGTCGTTCGACGAGTCCCGCCCGTATCCATTCTCCACCGCCAACATCGACCCACATGCGAAGCCACGGGACTCCACCTCCAGTGACGACAACGACGGTGAACTCGCGACCGAGTCGCAAGATGAGCCCACGACGCTGACGCCGGCGTCGTCGAACCCGCGCGCGCCCACGAGCTGGTTCCACTTCACCGGGCCGTGGGGCGACGAGCTCTACGGGCTCTTCGACATCCGGCAGTGGCGCATCTTCGGGCAGTACCACTACGTGACGGGGCCGATGGGCCCCAAGTTCAAGCACCTGGGCCGCGAGAAGGTCTGCCAGACGGACCGGTGCAGGATCCTACACAGCATTGAGGAGGGCAAGAGAAAAGCGTGGTACTGAATCGATACCCCCCCATCATCATCCTGATACCCCCTGCTGCCTGCTTTTGCCACCTGGCTGCTTTTTTATTATTATTTGGAAAGCATTAGATTGGAAGGAGTTATAGAAAGCATTTTCTTTTTTGGATTGATCATCGGGGACGGACGGACGGGGCAGGGCCATGGAGTTTTGCAATGGCCGGACACTATGACTGGACACACGCAGACACACAGACACGCAGACGCACACAAAGACGGGAACGGACGGACAGCCTAGAGCTACATTTTGCTTTTTCGTTGCCCTCGATACCCCTATACCATTATGGTTACCATACCTGCCTACACTCAGGCGCCGGCGCAACGGAGGGGAAAGATGTGTCTTTTGTATGTATGCTTTTGTTCTGATATCATGTAGCTAGGACAGATATAGGCAACGCATTGGTATATAGAGAGAAGAATCCTTTGCTATGTATGCATGATGCCTATGGCAACTGGACTGTGCTTGCCATGATAATGAGAGCTTTGCTGATTATTGGGCATGTCGAAGGGGGCAAGTAAATCTAGCTCGTCAGGGGTCTATACTGAGAATTGTACCTCTCCTGGATGGATGGATGGATGGATGGACGACAAATTATGGGCCCCTGCCACAAGTGGCAGTTTGAAAATGCGCGGATCAGACCCGTCACGATATACACCTAAGCAAAATAGATAGCATTTTCATGAGAGATGATTCAAGATAGCTATAGCAACTATCTGGTCGCCGCTCTGAGCATCTGATGCCCAGAGACATGGCATCCTCGTCTCGACTTCCACCCAGCTGCGGTACAAGCTCCCCTTGCACGCTTTCTCCCCACTCCAACTACCACAACAGTTCCTCCAAAGCCACAGACGAAGACAGGCCCGTTTGTGTCAGGCTCCTCGCTGGGGATAGTACGGTCATGAGGTCATTATAAGTAAGTTTACAACATGTGAAGTAACAGCAAGCAGACAGACACTTGGTTGGTTGGTTGGTTGGTTGATGTAGTAGTCGCCCACTGTATTCCGATCTGATATCTCTTTCTCTTCCCACCCACTACCACCCACTTGCTCGCTCACACAAGCTCGCTCTTCTCTCCTCTTGCCATACTCGCTTGCTCCAGAAAACAACAAATCCTCGCTTTAAAAAGGACCGTCTGACCGACCGAACCAAACCAAAACCGAGCGCCCTTACGCTGGCAGGTGGGGTAAACATGGTATCTTGTGACAAGCAATCCTCCCAAATCCAGTTTGCATGCTTTTGGTAGGTCTTTTCTCTTTCGTCTTGTTATGCGCTTTTCCGGTGCCCCATCCCATGCAGAAAGTGGAAGCAAAATAACAAAGCGTATACGTCTCGAAGGACGTGGGATCGGGAATGAATGAATAAATCAAGCAGTCTCTAGGGGGGTCTCGTCGCGGCCGTCCACCCAATAGCCAAAGGGTAATGATAAATGATAATGATAACAAGACCACCAGCAGAACGCTTTCCGTGTATCTCATAACGCGAAAAACAGCAACAAAACTCTTTCTCTCTCTCTCTTTCCATCCAACGCCGCAAGCTCCGTTCCCCGGGGGAGATGCCATGCATGCACGCTCAATATACAGAATTTCAGAGCGGGTTAAATACCGCAGAGTTGCAAACATAACAAAGAAATTGCGTGGGAGTCGGTATCCCGTCGAGTGAGTGGATCATTTACAGATTATGATATGGTGACGTCCGTGCTATTTGGACGTAGTGTCGGGTCGTTCGCCGAATTTGGTTTGACAGTGGTTCGCCCGGATATCGCGACGCTTCGAATACGTTGACTTAGTGGGAGGGAGTACTTCAGGACACCCTTCAGGATCAAGTCGAACTCGTCCTGCAAAATGCGTTCCCAGCGCTCCGAACCGCCATCTGTGCCATTACCAGGCCTTTGAAGTCGAACCTCGCCGGTCGAAGCGGATATTCCTTGGTGGAAGAAGGACCCCTCGAAAGATAGAGGGCTATCAAACTCCCGGATGGTTCCCAATCTCATGTTCGGCGCGCTGTCGTCCAACGGGGGATCGTCCTTGGGATCATCAAGGGTTTCGAGATCCCCATTGGAACTGCGACGAGCAGAGAAGGAGCCCGAGTCGTGTGGTCTACGCCACCATTCCGAATCGGTCCCAGCATGAGGGGACTTGGCGAAGATTTCGATATCTGCCGAGTCGATGATAACGACGACGACGTTGGGATTATGCGCTTTGACAGTCAAGTCAAACATGAGCTCTTGCTCACTCGCCAGCACGTTCTTCATGCTGACGAGCTCGATATCAGTGAGAGGCTGTGATGTCGCAAACATGAAGCCTATGGCGCCAGAGACGACGAGCAGGAGCATAACGGTGAGGACAAGGCAGCTGGCGAACCGGTTTAGAAACGATGGGCCATTCCCGTAGTTCTGCCCCTCAAGAGCTCTCATGGACATTGGAGCGCGATTCCTTCTAGATCTCGCGGACCTCAAGGAGCCATGAATCAGAGGAGTCCTCTCGTCATCTGCGCCAGTCGTATCGTCCAGATCATAACCAGACGTCATCTGGAGTCCGCGTTTGCCATTAAGAGCCGCTCGTCCAGTGCCGAATCGTGGGCTGGGTGGCCCAGATGATTGTCTCGAGTTGTTGGCTGAGAATTTAGGTCGCTGTGCAGCCGCAGCGTTTATATGGAAGGGGGCTTCATTATCGAAGAGTGAAGTGTGGCCGTTACCGGCGCCGTTGCGACCCCAGCGTCCGATATGGTGATGGTGAGCTCGAGTAGTCCCTCGTGTGGACCCTGCGTTGCTTCGTCCTGTGCCCTTACCCTCGTCCTCCCCAAAAGTGCTGTCGTTGCCGCTACCGTTGAAAGTATTCACAAACTTCATATTCTTCTTCACGGCCACACTAGGCCCGGCACTTTCCATGATGCTATTAATCGACCGCATGCCAGTCCTATCAACCTGGCTGACCATTGAGGTTGCGCTTGGAGTCCGAGAATGGAAGCGACGAGGACGGTCACCTCCATCGGGTGGATTAGAATCGTACACAAATGTTTCTTCCGAGTCAGATGTGTTGGCTTCATCAACAGCACTTGCTACCTTGGCCTCGAAGATGTCTGCTTTTGATGATGCTGTTCGCGTTCTTGTTAGCAAGCTGGTCATGGGAGGATACAAATGAAAGCTCTGGCTTCGAGTGCTTGACGGTGGACGCCGTCGAGGACTCGCCGGTTCAGCAGCGTACAGGCCTTGACTGCACGATTTGGTGGGAGATATCAGAGCGTAGATTGCCGAAGAAACTGATCGCGCTGACTGATCGTGTCCTGGCTGGGGATCGTAGACTGAAGGTGACAAATATTGTGGAAGCTCACCAGTGCCCGATGGGACGGTCGTCTGTTTCCGACTCGTCTTCTTCTTTTCCTTCTTCGGCCGTATCGTCTCAGAGCTGGGTTTTGTTCTGAGGCTGGCATTTGATTCCTCCTTTTTTGTTGTTGGTGCGACTGAGACCTGTGGTATTGACGTCACTGTCTCCGTTTCCACAGTCATATTCTGTACTGTGCCCTCTGTGGGCTTGCCCTTGGAGCCGGTTGCTTTGCCGGATATGCTGGACTGGCGAGAGGTCAAAGGAGGTGGCACACTTGACATTGGTGGTCGGCGATCGGCGCCGCCCTTGATGCTGCCGCTGTCGCTTCCACTCTCATTTGTTGTAGTAGTAAGGTTTGCTCTGGCAAGCAGTGTCTTGGATGGTCCGTGTTCGACGCCGTCGGGCTGGGAGCCGAACTCGCCCATATCTCTATCCTGAAGTTTTTCTAACGCGTCATCCAATTTCTGCTGCGGAGATGCCAAGGGGCTGGCCTCTTGGACAGTTTCCAGAGTCGAATTGCTGCTATTATTGGCGCGCACTGGTGTTCTGGTGCCAGTCTGTAGATGTGAATCGTCCTGATCGGTGTCTGAGTGACTTTGTTCTAGGTGTGAAGCTGGCGACGGCGTTGAACGCTGGATACTGATCGAAGGCGGATCCTGCTCGCCCTTGCGCGGTGGCCCAAGGCTTGGTCGATTCAAGGCGGGAGGCGGAGACCGCAGGCGCGGCGAGACTGGCCACCTTGGCGCGTCCCGTGAGTGCTCAGACGTTGGCGATTTCTGAGGGATGGGCGCGCGAATGGTCGAGTCTGAAGAAGCGGGAAGCAGTGTTGGTGTGCTCGTGGAGGACAACGTCCTTGAAGTAGGCGACGGAGATGGGATGTTGGATCTTGATTGCCGCGATGGACTGAGCTCCTGCTGGCTGTTCTTTCGTGACCTGGTGACGGTGTTGGTTGATGCCGCTTTTGCGACGGCGGCTCGCAATGTTGGACGGCTCGGAGAGGATTCTCGCGAGGGCAGCGGGGAGGCCCGAGACGTCTGACTTGAGAGCTGGGAGGGTTGACTGCTCGAGTCTGCTTTCAGCGCAGAGCTGGTGGATGATTTGCGGCTAAGCGTGGGATGGGGACTCTGGGCCTGGGGGGCGTTGGCATCTGCGGCCCCGTTGACAAGATTGGACGATTTGTCCATGACGGCTGCAGAGACTGGATGCGAGGGATGTCTGGCGAGAGGAATGACAGCTCGTCTAGGGAGAGCCCTTCATGCCACAATGGTCTTAGCTTGGACGACGATGATTCGTAGGTAACCTGTCAACCATTGTGCACACAAGGGAGCAGCCGCGTTGAAGTGGAGAGGATATGTCGATGTGTCTTGGTCCCTGAGATTCGCTGGATCCCACGAAGCTGGATGATCTAGCCTAGCCGAGTTTGTTGATGCTGTCCTTTGGAGCAAACAGCGACCTGGTCGTGGTTGGCCGTTCTTGCAGACAAAGCGAGAATGGACAACGCAGCCGGAATGCTGATCGAAGGCAGAGTCGATGGGCGAAGATTGGTTCTTGTGTCCCTCAGCAGTTGGGGGTTGGCCGACGAGGAAGACTGGTTGACTGGCGATGACGGAATCGTATTTGGCGTGGGCGTGGAGTCAAGTGACGATGGATGGGATGGGTTCGGTTCACTTTCACTAGACTGACGGGGAGTCTGCGAGTAAGGCGAACCGGGCCGGGGCCAGGAATGAGGTACGAGGAACGGACGGGAATGGGCCAGCCACAAGAGGATCTGATCTCGTTTTTTTTGGTCTGTCTCTCTTTCGTTCGTTCTTTATTTGTTGGTGGTAGTCGACGACGTAAGTACTCCGAGTAAAAGACCAGTCAGTGGTCAGTGGGCAGTGGGCAGTGGTCAGTCGAACAAGATGGAGGGAAGAGGAGGAAGAAGAAGAAGAATGGCACTGCAGGATGGATGATGTATGGATGGATGATGGATATACGTGGGAGGGGGGGGATGTATGTGTAATGGTGTCGACGCGATTGATTGCCCCCCGAGCAATGATCGAAAGTGCCTGACGCCGACGGGATGGGGGGTGGGTGCAGAGGAAGAGGTGGTGCCAGAGGAGCCAGAGGAGCCAGAGGGAGGAGGTGCGGTAATGCCAGTCACCACAGTCCTTCTGTCAGGCGGGCGGATGCGCTGCGTGGTGGTTGACGTGGGTAGCGAGAGAGCGAGGGTACCTACCTAGGCGTGCTAGGTAGCGAAGGTAGGCAGATGAGGTACCTACGGTGACAACCCACAGGGCCACAGTGGATGAGTTGTTTTTCTCCGCCTCCTCCAGGAGCAAAACATCCCCCGGTCAATTTTAGTGTTACCGGTAGTGGCCACAGTACGCTAATCAGAGTGCTTGACCGCCAGCAAGCAGCCAAAATGGTCGTGTGGTCACTCATCGTGCCCCGAAGGCCTCGTGCTTGAGACCAATACGTAAGATGCATCTCGGCTTGCTTCTATTACTTCATTGTTGGAATTTTGTTTACCTCTTGATTTAACATCTCTCAGTGTTGTTCCAAAGAGACTTCTAAGAGGAAGTCACACAACAACAGTCGAAGCAGCAGCCAAACACGCAAATAAACAAACCTTCGAAGCCATATGCCGGCTCCATCCACTTTTCCGCCTCCGAATGCGCCTCTTCGATTATGGATCCAGTTGAGTTTGACAATGGCACCAAGACTGTATCTAGGCGAACTTAGTGGAAGCAAGCAGCCGAATGTAGAGTAGTCAAGCCAGCGAAGCCATTTAGACTTGAAGCGGCGCATGAGTCTCCATCTTCAGGTCAGATCAGATCAGATCAACTCAGTGGACGGCAGATAACTGAACTGTCGCTCGGGTTCCTGAGTTCCTTTCCGTCTTCATTCACAGATAGGCAGTCAGTCAGTCAGTTAACGAGACAGGCGGACAGCCGTGGAGGCATGACAGGCATGACGTGTACCCCCCGAGTACCTCCAGATGTCCTGTTCCTCGATAGGGGGTCAGCAAATACAACATCCACAGCGGCATTCTAACGTTAGTTGCTGACCGGGTCCATCTCCCGTGGGGGAAAATAAACCAAAGATCCATCTTGGAGTGAGGGAGATTGACGGGCTCACCAGAGATGTGATCAGCCTCTGGACCAATGGAGACATGCGACGGCGCAGACTCCCCAACAAATACCCTCACGAGCATCCCCCGGAAGTAACATGAAACTACCCGGCCAGCACCATTCCTCGTGCCTCTTCACTATTCACGGCGGGCGGTAGTCGGCGAATACCCCGGCCGCCCCCAGCAACTTTTGCCCGCGGACGTTTTCTTCCACTCTCTCAGTGGTGGGTACAGTACATGTTCACTCAGACTGTTCATCTCGCCGTGGGCTGGGCTGGCTGGGCTGGGCTGCCTGCCTGCTTGCCTGCCCTGGATTAGCCGGTGCCGACGTTACGTTTTCCATCTGGGCTTCCACATTTCTTCTACTCCACCTTCTGTCCCTGTCGCTAGGCTTGTCTACACGTGTCCCGGCTGCCAGGCGTTGTATCCGGCAACCAGACACACACGCTGTCAGTACATGGATGTACTCTACTCGACTTGTCCTGTGCGCTAGGGCGGCCCCTGCTTCCTGTCTTTGGGGTTTGCCTAGGTAGAGTGAGCGTTCATTATTTCCTGTACGGTAGGTGTACCGGTACTGCGATTGTGCGAGTAAATGAATGTTGCTCCAGTGAGTTGCCACGATCATGGCAGAGTCTCTTCTGTAGCCACTTTTAAACCGGAAAGGAACTCGGAAACTCCAGAATAAATCCAGTTACACCGTAGCACTGCCAAAGAAAACACGAAAATACACAGACTAGATTCAAGACAGTCCTCTCTGGTCGGGGCAAAGTCAGTACTCCTGCTCTCGACTTTACTGTCGTAACATCCATCCACTTCAACTAACATTCCCGCCTATCACCGACACCACCCCCATCTGTATTCGGTTCCAAAATAGGACATCTACCGGGCACAAGTTACAACTCAGCCTCTCAGCAACGGCGACGTGGCACCATCCGCAAGAAACAAGGATCCGTGGGGGGGAGTTCGAGCCCTATCCGGTTCTGACAGTTGCTCCCTGTTCCTGTCTGTTGCTGAGTGGGCTATTCGCAGCAAGAATCGCTTCTTTGAGCTCTAAAAGTCCAGCTAGAAGCGCGCAAGAAGTCAGTGAGCGTAACGAAGGAAATAAAATGAAGACCGTCAAAGCACAGACGGCTCCCTCGGCGTTGCAATGATTGCGCGAGCTATGCAAGAGCCGAGGGACCCGACAGTCGATATATCAGTCAGTCACTTTTAAAACTTTGACAGCATCTCCAGTCCGGACTTTCACCGTCTTGTTCTTCTCTAGCCAGGGGTCCTCGGCTCCACTGGTTGCCCTAATGCCGGGATCATATGTGCATAGGGGCGTGAAGAACGTGAGTGACTGAGTTATTAGTGAGCGCTCGCAGATTTCCGAGGTCCGTCCCAACATGGCGGTAAGTCTCATCCCGGCTCGGCCAGGGCCAGGGCTCGCCCAGCAAGGGCAAAGACCGTTGGGCAACCTGCCTATCCTATTATTTTCATTTGCATTCGCAACACCGACCGTGTGGTGACACGTATTCATGAGTGGTCCCCTTTTTCGTGGGGGAGAAATATCCTCTGTCCTTACGGTAGCCAGTCTTGCCCATGGCTTCAGCGAGACAAGACAGCATGGGCGGACTTGCAGTCCAAAAAGAGAAACTCTGCTTCCCACCAGGAAGAGATGTAGCGAATAACCTTAATACAAAGTGCGTATGAATGCGCACGTCATAAGCCCTCACGCATTTTGACTGGTCAGACGCCTCCAACCAGAGAGCCGGGAGCAGGTCCGGTGATCTTAGAGAAGAAGGCATGACCTGTCTGGTGCGCGACTACAGGCTAGTTTGATTATCTAGAATGGCTCATGGTGGTGACTCGGAAGAAATGACGTATTTGACAATGCATTGTTGATAAGTAAGATGTGGTTTTCATGACTTAGAAGTAAAATTGATAGTTTTGACTTGTCCTCCATCTGGCTGGCGCATGCAGTCTGATGTCTGCCTTTAGCAGTCCAAACTCAGAGATCAATAACCACCTACCTACCCAGGTATCCAATAGCTTTTTCTTTGTTTCTTCTTGCACCTTTCCAAGGTGCTCGCCCAGATCCTGATCCGGATTGCTTTACCCTCACTGTTTCCGCTTCAAGGCAAGAAGTTCCCCCCACTTGATGCTGCTCACCGAGACTGCCGGGCCTGTCATTGTCATACTTTGGTCTGGCTGTATCAAGTGGTCGTGATGGGCAACAGATAAGGTAGATAATGCATCTGATATGTGCAAAGCAAATGATAACCTTGTCAGGGCTCTTGCCGTGGATTCCATCGGTCATCGTAGTCCCCATCTAACTCAGAAACCGGTAGATTTCCGATCTCACCATATCCTGAACTGAAGAAGTAGAGGACTTTACAGGACCTGCTCTCTTAACCAGCAATACGTCGTCCTGATGCGTATCTAATCGTAGATCGATGGGGAAGAAGGTGTTCTCGAAGGTAGATGAGGATTCAATCTCGCGATGGGTGGAGTTTCTCACAACCGTCGAAGATGCCGTTCCAGGTTCCTGCGCATTCGTGTCATTGGGCTGAGAAACATGGCTGATCCCCGAACCTCCATCACATTGGACCATCCGCTGTAGGATGTCTTCGACATGGGCATTGCCGTTTGACTCATTGCTGAGCGCCAAAACCCCTTCAATGGTTGACTGAAGATAAGTCTCAAGGTCAGGCGCTTGATCATGCATACCACGACTTTGCGCATATTGGTAGAGCTTCAGAAATGCGTGGCTGATTTTCTCGATGGAATCGTTCAATGCCTGGACTTTGGTCTCCAATGTCTGTATCGTGTCTTGCTGTCGAGATCTATACGCCCTCTGCGCTAAGCGAACCTGTCTTCGGCGCCGCTGTGATAACTTAGCCCTCCTCTTAACTGAATAATTGATGAGAGTTTAGGAGGTCGTTGAATCCAAAGACAAGTACACACCTCAGCAGGAGTCTCGTTCCTGGTAGATGACCTCGGGCGCTTCCTCGGTCTTGTTCTTGCTAGTTCTGCTTCTTGTTCTCCGTTCTCTTCGATATCCGAAGCCTTCGCAGACCTTTTCATCTTATGCCAAAGTAGAAGGCCCGGCACCTTTGTTGGGATGCGCCGGGTCGATGCCTCAGCCTTCCGGGGCCAAGTGTTTACCAGTCCGTCATTTGTGGCGATCAAATGAAGTTATATGGATTTCAGGACATTGAATTACGGACTTAGGACCGAAGCTACACTAAGTCTTGTCTATATCAGTCATCAGTGGACCTGAGTCGCGTAGTAACCTGTAATGGTAAGCAGCTATGGGAAACAGTAGGTATTATCTGTGCCGCAACTACCTGCTAGGCCACCCCACTGCAAAGTGTGGGATGGCGCAGAGAGGATGCCAACCTACAAATACTGAGGACTAAATCGCAGTATCGCCTGGATTGGTATGATAGAAGTTGATATCTCAAGGATCAAGTCCAAGAGGCACAATGAAATGTATTGAAGCGCTGAACAAGTCGTCTGGAAATAACGCCTGTCGCGGGATCCATAGCTCGTGTGAATGTTCGAATCTTTCCGAACAAGTTTGTACAAAGAGTCAAGGGTTTAGCGTTCATGAGTTTATATACTATCAAGCCGACTCCCATGCCCAGGGGTATCCTGCAGGTCCGGATCTATAAAAGAATTGTGCCTTGTCCAGCTAGGATCCAAAGTGAATCGCATCATCTCCGTATCATGTAATGTATCCAGTTCCATGGCCGATCGTATCATATTACCACATCTCCCCAGTTACAAATCTATCACAACAATCACTCCCTAATAGCCTCGCCCGCGGGTGTAGCTTCCTCCTTCTTCCCAGCACCTGCCCACCAGCCACCAATCCAGCTCGCCCGCTTATTGGCGTTCTGCTGCATGGCCTCGGGGTTCTCCTGCACCAGTCTGAGTGGCCGCGGCTTGTTGCCTGCAAAGGTCGTCGTCTTCTCGTGGTGATTGGACCTGGGAGGGCTCGTGTTGGGAGAGTTAGGCCCATCAGCAAGCGAGTCTCCGCTCGTGCTCGACGTCTCGCTCTTCATTCCTGGGAAATTGCCGCTGGTGCTCATGGGCACATTTGTTCCGCTGGGAACACGGTTTCCTGAAGGTAGGAAGAATGTCTGCGAAGATCGTAGTCCGGGGGAGAGGGGCCCGTCGGAGCCCTTGTACATCTGGTTGACGACCTGCGCGGCTCCACCGGTGAACTGCTCGCTCATAGGTCGAGTTCGTCTAGTTGAGCTCGAGCGGGTGAGGCCGATGGGAATGCTCGGTGCCGTCTCTGGGTTGTTATGCGCAGTGCTACTCGGCATGACGGACATCGGTCTTGGTCTCGGTTTCGGGCCACCTGCACCGATAGCAATCGATTTCGCCCTCTGCAGTAGTGATGGACCTGTAGCTGCTTGATCTTTGGGTGGCGGAGGAGGCGGAAGCTCTTTGTTAGTATTCGCAGTCGGTGACTTGATCTCGGTAGATGTATCAAGGATGTGCTCAAACTCCTGGTGCTGGAGTAGGCGTTCGATAATCTTGTTGATATACAGGGTAAGCGCCTTATTTGAATCTTTCGCCGCCCGTAGCTCGGCCTCCAAGCGCCGATAATTCTCGCTCTCACCCTCAGCTGCTTCAGACAGCTCGTCCGCGAGGCTCGTGCCGCCTGTCTTGCCCTCGAGAGCAGCCAGTGCGTCCTCGTTCGAGTGGGCGCCGCTCATGTAGCCGAAGTCGCTCTTAGCGAAGTCGCCATTGAGCGTCTTTTCTTGGAGCAGCAATTGATAGCTCTCGTTGTCTTCCATAAGACGTGCGTTAGCCATGCGAGCTTCCATCAGGAGCCGCTCAACCTCATGCAGCCTACCGCCGCCTTGGTTTTCCGACTCTACAAGCTTGATCTGGGCCTCTGCGAGTTCCAGCCGCAAAGACTCAATCAACTTGTCTTTCTGCAGAATAAGCTTCGAGTTATTCCGCGAATCGCTGCGTTGTAGAGATGATGGTGGAGCGAAGCTACCATTGTCGATGCTAGGGGAGTTGTTCGCTAATGGCGGATACGTCAGTATGGCAGAATGATACTACAGTTCCTTTCATGCGGTCAAATACTCACACTGTCTTGACGGCCGGCCATCATCGTCATTATTGGCTCTTTGTGAGAGGCTGTCCTTCAGTCGCTGGATAACGATCTGCATCTCTTCCTCGCGATTTGCCATCTCTTCTTTCTCTTTGGCCATAGAACTTCGTTCGGCTTCGTAAATGGCTTCCATCTCGCGAATTTGCCTAGTCGCCTCACGTTTCTCATTCCTCAGAGCCTCGATCTGCTCCTCGCTCTCGTGTACCTTCTCCTCCAGCTTCGCCTGCTCCTTGATTGCCTCATCGAGCTTGCTCTGTAGTATCTCCGCTTGTTTCCTATACTGTTCGGAAGCGCCCTCAGCTCTCACCAAGCGCTCCTTCAAATCGTCGAGAAGAGCCACGGTCTCAGCGCGAGCAGCTTCTTCCGCCTCAATATTCGCATTGGTGGTCGATGCAAGCGGCGACTCTCTTCGCTGGCCTGCAGCTGCGCGTGCGGACACAGGCGTTCCGCCCCGGACTGATCGTGTTCGTGCCACGCCACCGGTACCAGCAGCAGTGGAAGTCGGAGTAGATGCCCTTGCGGTACCTCGCGACGGTGACGAGGAGGCCGGCGCAGTTGGGTCCCGACCCGTCGCGGGTGGTTTCTTCGTGGCGGCCGTCGACATTTTATGCCTGGCGATTACTCGTAGACCCTGATCTTTGTATGTATGGAGCTAGCGATTGATAAAAAATTCGGTATTTGTGAATGCGCAGCGCCTGTGTCGATAACTAAAAGCGAAGGTGTTGCGTTGGTTCGATTGTTGGAAGTGCGGGAGAGAGGAATGACACAACAGCAACAACACGGTCGAGAGCTGCGGTCGTGGCAGTATTATTTTAGAAACTGGTGGCGCTCGGGATCGTCGTTCAGCATCTGATGCACAGCGGCAGCCAGCCAGAAGCAGAGCAATCTAAACCAGGGAAAAGGGACGCGAAAAAGGGATTGGCTCGCGAGCAGCAGAGGACAGGCTAAGCCCCCTTCTCCAGCACAGGTCAGCCACCGTTCGCCAGAGTTCCGCTAGGCTATTTCTTGGAGAGATCGAGTACCGAAGTCTAGTGTAAACGGTTCAAGGCCCGCAACAAGCCCTCTGGCATGTGTCTTGCTGACTCGATAGACAGTGTAGGAGTTGATGGTGGTTTCACTGGTAGGTATGAGATGGAATGTTGGAGGACGGAAGGTCTGATGTTTCGCTGTGTCGGGAAGCTCAAACGATGACGAAGATAGGTCCCTGATAGACGCGACTTGCTTGTTTGCATGAATACCCGACTACGAGATAATAACACTAGGCTGCCTTCGTAATAAAGGGAACACAGCAGGATCGACGTGTTCGCGTCGCAAATGTCGGCGCATTGAACAACTCTTGGTACATCACCAGGGATTCGCTGAAACGTGCCACCATTCTATATCGATGTGACAATAGTACAATACCCCTACCTCGAACCAGCAAAAGAGGACTTGGCCGAGGTACCTCCGAACAGGACACATTGCACCGCCTTCTAGAAGTATTTTTCGTTTCTCTTACTTCTTCGTCCATTCTAAATTGAGGTTCGCACTTCTCAGTACAACTTTATTCGGTGTATTCGACAAAGGAGGCATAGTCGGGGCGGATGGAGACACAGGTTGATTGTTGTAATTTAGCAGTTAATGCTTGTATTCACCTAACCTCAATCGTAAACAACCTACCAGGCTCTAGTGCTATTCCATTAAGAGATAATCGGCCTCGGGATTCAGTGGCTTTAGTATTCTGGCGTTTATAAATTGTCGCTGTACTTAAGACAGGGTTGTTGCAGGATTGGCTTACATCACTGGTGATGGCGTGCCTCGTCTCTAAAGCCATATCACCAGAGTATAAGGCTCGACTTAACCCTGAACTTCCTCTATCAGCACTGACCCCCTTGCACCACGTAGGTAGGTAGAGATTTCGACGCTGCCCCCCAACTACCGAATCTGGAATTGGCATGTACATAGTCACACATTCAAGGCAATTATTCAGCGGGTTCGAAGCTGGCTATGGCCATGGTATTGGAAGAACGATTCTCGTCAATGGCTACGTAATAATAGACCTAAGAGAAGGCATCGCCCTTATATACTGCATTGGACTTGACGTCCAACGGTGAAGATGATCAATAATCAAGTGTCCTGCCGATGGTATGTCCCCTTTTGCCATTCCAAACCTGAACGCCGCGTCATGATTCCCTAGAAGCCAAAAACACTCGTCTAGGATTGTTGCTCGCTCAGGATGTCGGAGTCACCGGCGTCGAGCACGGCCATGGTGGAGCAGCGGAACAGCTTACCGCAGGCAGTACCCAACTCAATCTGTCATAGCAAGAAATGTAAGCTTCAAGAATTAAACCCTCCAAAGTCTGAGAAAAGACTTCTTCGCTGGGCAGCCCCCAAGACCAGTGGTCTTCAGAGCCAAGAACAGCTGCGAAAGAAAAGCCCAAGACGAATAGTCTTCGGCAAAGTGAGAAATATCAGGGAAATGTAAGGAGAACTCACGTTGGTGCCTCCGTAGTGGTGAACCGGGGCCTTGGACAGCATGCTGTAGTACTCGAGCTCACTCTTGCGCAGCGGCGGAGTGTTGCCGGCAATGAGGACCAGCTTAGCCTTGCCAGAACGGAGGGCCTTAAGGGTTGACTTGTAGCCCAAAGTGACTGAAAGTATGCATCAGTATACCTTTTTTCCTCCTCAAAAACGGCGACATGGCATGGCAAACTCACCCTTTCCAGACTTCATAACAAGCGCCAGGCGCGAGTTAAGGTTGTCAGAGGACTTCGACTTCTTCTTGGGGGCCATTGTGAATGTTGGGTAGGTTTTCCTTGATCCCTCGATGTGATGATGGTCTGGGTTGAAAGAAAAATCTCGGAGAGGTGGGTGAATTCCCGTAAAAGATAGAAATCAATTACAGGCCGCACACTCACTGCTTCGGAGGTCGGAGAAGTATCTATCCGCGGCCTCTCATTGGTCAGACACCCCACTCTCCAGCAAAAACTGGTCTGAAACCCTAAGTGCCCCACTTCAAGTGAGGACGAGGGCGAACTGTGAGTCCGCTCGGCTTACCTGATGCGCCTGCTTTGAAATCAAGGCACGAGTTAAATCTAGAGGCGATTCCTGCTGTCGACCTCACTTCTCCACCACGCAACAAACAAACCTCTCGACAGCGACATCACCAGGAACAATCAGTCAAGATGGCTCGTCGTCCCGCCCGCTGCTACCGATACTGCAAGAACAAGGTGAGCACCTCCGCGTTGCAAACTTTGATGGAAAATTGGGACGCTTTTTTGGAGCAAAATGGCCAAGAAGGGTGATGGGAAAGATTCTTGATGGATGCCATGATCGGCCTCTTCACGCTGTCTACGACTGCCTGATGAAATCTGGAACATCTTGGAATTTTTGCAGCAGAAACAATGGGAGAATCTCGACAGAACAAGGTGCTAACACATGCTTCTTCAGCCGTATCCCAAGTCCCGCTTCAACCGTGGTGTCCCTGACCCCAAGATCCGAATCTTCGACCTTGGCCGAAAGCGCGCGACCGTCGACGACTTCCCGCTATGCATCCACATGGTCTCCAACGAGTATGAGCAGCTGAGCTCCGAGGCTCTCGAGGCCGCCCGTATCTGCGCCAACAAGTACCTGGTCAAGGTTGCCGGAAAGGAAGGTTTCCATCTTCGTGTCCGTGCCCACCCGTACCACGTCGTCCGTATCAACAAGATGTTGTCTTGCGCCGGTGCCGATAGACTGCAGACTGGTATGCGTGGTGCTTGGGGCAAGCCCAACGGAACTGTTGCCCGTGTCAACATTGGTCAGATCATCATGAGCGTCCGTACTCGTGACTCCAGTACGTTCACAAATCGCCTCATCTCGTTTTTGAATCCAGTTACTAATCTTGTACCAGACCGTGCTACCGCTCTCGAGGCTCTCCGACGATCCCAGTACAAGTTCCCCGGTCGCCAAAAGATCATCATCTCCAAGAACTGGGGCTTCACCCCTCTCCGCCGCGAGGAGTACCTGGAGAAGAAGGCTGCTGGCCGCGTCAAGGTCGACGGTGCTTACGTCCAGTTCCTGGCCAACCACGGCTCTCTCGAGCAGAACATGAAGCGCTTCCCTGATGCCTTCACCGCATAAAGGGTTGTGTTAGGGACAAAGTCATGTTGGGGTTTCCAGGCTGGCGTAAAACGGTTATGAGAGGCTGAGTTAGATAGCATATTCTTCTTACCCAAAGAGATCGCTTCGGCACAGTCAAATAAATCAAGTTCTGCACCATACTTTTTTACAACATGGGACATGAGGGTGATCATTCAGCTTATGTCAATGGATTGTTCTTCGCCACAAATCTGCTGGCAGAGAGATGTTTTGTGACATAATCTTAGCGGCCCGCTACGTAGAGATTGCTTGCCGTGATATTCCACTGTTTGCTTTCATCATTGTCGCACACCCAGCTATAGCTGACTTGTAAAGGAGAGATATCATGTGGCAAGTCACTAATGCGAGTGAAGACGTGCTAAGTCTACTTTTGCCAGCCATACCTAGAGATAGAGCCAAGAACGGAAAGCATCTCTTGTAGAGCATCTACAGTCTAATCCCGTGATACCGAGGATACGATAGTGTAAAGAAAAGGGAGCACGTTCATCATCAGCCACGGCTAGAGTAACTTTACCTCGCCCAGGCTTGATGTTACCGGCTGCTTCCGAGGAACGTCCTGAGGCTGCTTGTGAATAGTCGTCCCATAGAAGTTCCAGCAGACCATCAAACTGCTGGTATTCCCAATCAAATTGGCACACTGGCTTCCTTTCGGTGGAAAAAGGGTGCTTGCTTGAGATACTGGTTTCTAAGACCGCTTTGATGACGTGCTGCATAGTACCGGCCCATGTGAGAGGAAAGTTCATGAGACTGGGGACCGCTTGTGCTGAAGCGGTGATAGACTTGTTTGCCTTTGGGCCTACTTCCTGCTATTAGGGAAGAATTCATGACTTCACTTAGTTTCGAGATACGGTGCTTCAATAGCGGAAATTACTTGTACGAGTGAAGTCATATAATCCGTGTGTCAATGCCGGCGCGGCTACTTTCCGAGTACAGTAGGCGCTGGCTCGCGTGCTGGTTGTAATGTCCCATTCGCGGCTTTGCAATGTAAACGCTCTTCTTTCACTTTCTTTGCGACAACGGAGCTGGCGGACACCTCAGTGGGTCTTATCGCGTGGGCGAGAACACCCACCATCCCCGATAAGCGTATAGGCTTGTTGGGACTTACATAGGTATCCATGATGCCATTTCTGGGCACGATGGGATGTCCCGGCTCATCCACAACACAAAGCAAGACACCGCTACTCGTGTTTACGCAAACGCCTTTCGGCCCTATCGGCTAGCTGAAGAAAAGACGCAGCGTAGAGGGGAATATACGGAGAAGGTGTGATGATCATTATGATGATTATTTTGATAATAAGAAACTAGGTCAGGAAAGCGCTCAGCACTGGATCGTAATATTCGGACTTCCTCTCGAATGATTTGTAGACGCAGCTTGAGACCGAGTTAGGCTGTTGACTAACCGTCCATCGTGGCTTAGGTTCAGCAGTTAAAAATACAAGTGCTGACAGTTTCATTCCCATCCTCCCTCTCGGGATCTGGTTCTTGAGTGGTGAATTATATGACAATTGGCTTATCTGATTGTCATGGTGGGTTGTAGTTTACGCAGGTTAGCCTACATTAAGGGGAGCCACTCCCGCCTTTCCCGCCAGACCACAGCGCAGTGCGTGCTGCAGGTGGTATCAGTCAGGATCCCGTCGCCTCCTGTGAGTAGGCGTAGTGCTGTCGTTAGGAGTGAGCCCCCTGTCGCCCCGCTGACATGATCGCCTGCCCGCCCACTTTGAAGCTGACTCTCGAGCCAACCTTATCCGGCCTCCCTTACCTGCCTTGATCAAGGACACACTGACTGCTGTGCCCAGCCTCCGTGCTCGCCCTGCGCCTGACTTCCGTGTCCTGACGATAGAATATATCTCGCCTCTTCAGCTACCTTACCGACATTCTTACGCCTAACCCTGTCTATTGATCGTGTGCTTACATTCTCAGACCTATTTATCCCATCGTGTGATCCGTTGCACGCCGCTGAGACAGCCAGGCAGGCAAGCTGCACTTGCGGGGTGTACTGACAACACACGGGAGGGAGATCGTGACACACACAGACGGGCGGGGACAGCTTCCCTTCATCTGGCACAACACTGTAATACATATTGAAGCACCATTACGCTGTTCGAGTACCTGGCCGCCAGAATCATACTATCGCCACGAGTTCACTTTTCTATCGAGAATCATCCCGTCACACCTTATCCTCAGCGTCAACATTAATGAGAGCCTTATCGTCGCACTTCCCACCCACACCCTCTCTTCCCCTCACGATCGTCGAGAGACGACAACTCTAAACAACAATGGCCTTTCACCAACCTACGAGGCAGCTTACGCAGCGCATCATCCGTGTTGAGACCGATTCGCTCGAATCGCAAACACCAGTGCCGCCTATCTCTCAAACCCGCGATGAATCGCAAACATGGGTCCTCTTCTCCCCGGCTACAGACGCCGGTACCACTACATCCTATCTAAGCTCCGTCCAGGATTCACAGCCCACACCTGGCCGATCACGATTAAGTGACCTCGGGAGTCTCAATACAGTTGCAAGATCCGATCTCGACTCGAGACACGTCAGTTCTGTGGTGGCATCCGATGTTCTTGACGACGACGTCATCGAAGACGATGCGGAGCTTGACAGCTTAGACAGCCACCTACCGGACTTTCGAGCGGTGCCCAACGATCACAGCCATGGCTTTTCACAGTCAATACCAATTCTACCGACTCATGATGGCCTGGGTTCCTTCCGATTAGATAACCAGGCAATGGGCTCGGAGATGCAAGATCGGATCTATGCTTTCGAGCAATTCAACCCTCGAAGAGTGAAGAGGAGAAGAGAGAGCCTGGAATTGGCACAGCTTGAGATAGAACGCGAGCAAGTGCAAGAGATAGAGAGGACAAAACGCATTGAGGAGTGGCGTTTGGATCAGAGCCGGGTATTGCTGGAAGAGATACAGAGGGAGACGAGGAGGAGAAGGCAATCACAGGTGTCAACCCAGAAGCTTGGGTCAGCTATGTCACCTGCAGAAGATGCTGCGACAATGAGCACCGTTGGAGAGGCGACTCCGGAGACCTCGCTGGCAGGCAGCGATTGGCATGATCAGGATGGCGAGGAAGCGGCAAGAAGTCGTGATGGGCTATGGTCACGCTTTACTCGCCGGGTCATTGAAGACCTAATGGGAATCGACGACAAGACTCTTTCCATCCTCTTCGGGGAAGCTCTCCCGGACGATATTGATGATCTCTCATCAACGCCTAAGGCATCGACGGGATCGGGAAGCCATGTCACCATGCGGGGCGAGGTAGAGTCATTCCGTGACTCGTCCTGGCAGCTGCGCATGTTGGACCGGATTGCGCGTGAATTGGGCATGCTTGTGCATCATCTGTCATCTCACCCCCACCCCGGCGCCTTTTCAACCTACGTGCGCATGCAGCAGACGCCACTGCCTTACGCGGGCCTACCTGTGATACCTGAGGCTGCGGTTGATGCGGCCGATTCGCCCGCCAAAAACGTCGTGGACAGCACGCCCACCATGCCGCAATTCAAGCCGACCGTCGGGCAGACACAGCCAATGAATATTCCTGGGTCGCGGACTGCAGAGTCAGCATTGGAGACGACGCCATCTGCAGTAGGCGATGACGCAAGTGCAGCGTTCACACAGCAAGAGTGGGAGCAGGAG